GTGTATTTCTAAGAATATTTTTAAATATTCTCTTATTTTTGGTAGAAAATATTGAGTATGGTTAGGTGTAGAGATGTTATATCTTTGTGAAGTTATACACATCATTTAGTATGTTGTCAGTGAATGTTTTCTTCTGTCTTTGCATTCTTGTTTTAGAGTCAGTAGCCATAACATTGAAAGTTAAGCTTAACTGGAGAGGATATACAAAATTCTTTCAAATGTTTAAGTTTTAAGCATGTACTTGTCTAGTATTTATTCTTATTGATTTTAAAGTGGAAATTTAGCTGTCTGCATTTAAATAGTAATTAAGACTCTGCAACTCAATAATGACATTAATTTTAACAGCGCATCTGTGAGATTTGTTCACCAAAGTGCTTTGATCATTTTTCTCGGGATGCACTTCAAATGGAAAAGCATATTGTGGAAGGTAAGAGCCACATATTTTTAAAATGTTTGTTGGACAAAATATTTTTTAAAAAAATTCTAAGCAGTAAATATATTTGTGTAATTGAGGATATGAACGTACTAAATACTTGGACCAAGAGGGAAAGGTAATAGGCATATATCTTCTCATGTGTTAGTGACAGGTAAAATTCAGAGTGTGATCAGATGATCCAAACTATTAATTCTATTTCAAAACCTGATAAGAGCAATGTTGGGAAATACTGAAGAGAAAAGTAGAAAGTGGAATGAAGAATGAGCAAAGCAGAGTGCAGGGAGTAAATGGATAAAAAAGAACCAGATGTGCACTCTGAAGGGGGAAACTCAGGTCTTACATTAGAAAGAGGGAGAGCAGTATATGAAAATTGTGAGGAGAATATATGAGTTTCCAGTACCAAACCTGGTCTGAAATACAGTGCTATTTTGTCCCACTTTTCTTTTCTTCCTATTGGTGAGAATGGCATTAAAAAATGAAATACTAGGTCATCCAGAGCTACCTTGAGTTTACCACAAATAAACATAAACCTATATGTTCCCACAGCCATATACATAATTTGACAACATATACAATGCTGCTATTTCCAATGACAGTAGATACTCCACAGGATGTGAGAATGGGGATTAGAGCAGACTTGGTTATGGAGTGATCACCAAAACCACAACCTCATGAAATGTCCAGTGGACATATTGAATCTTTATACAGATTCGATTTGGGGGACAGGGTACAGAGGAGATTAAGGCTCGATTGAAAATATGAAATTAAGGTAGAGGATTCAGTGTTGGACTCCTATAGGCCAGATTTCTCCAGTTCTATGAGTTATTTGTTGGAGATGAGGTTCAAAAAACACATTGCAATTCAGAAGGTCTTTGATTCTGCATTTCCAATGCATTCTAAGGTGATTAGAATGTTCATGGTCATTAAACCACATTAAGAGAACTAAGGTAATGGATTTCTATTTCAAGAATGCTCAGGGAAGAGCAATGTGATGATAGCTAAGGACAAAAACCAGATGAATGGAAGGCAAATATTTTGATTTCATTTCAGAACATGCTTCTTGACAAGGTGTAAAAATAAAGAATAAGAACAAAGAAATATTATTTGATACTGTTCTGAATTGGGAAAGAACGAATTAGAAAGGATTCATAAACAGAATCTCAAATACGATGATCAAGAACACAGTGTAAGAAGTTCTTTTTGAAAACCTGAAGAGTAGGTGCAATGATGGAGGAAAGAAGAAAGATATTTAGGTACATAAGGAGATAAGGATGAGCAAGGACAAAATGCATTTAATCTGAGTTCCTTCCAAAAAAACTATGACTACTATTTGTTCATAGATGCTTTAATAAAGATGAAAATGGGAGAATGGGGTCAAATGTGAGAAAATCATTTCACTCTGACACACGTTCAGGAGAGTAGCCTGCATTTTGCAGAGAAGTTAATGGTTCACATGGGATAACAATGATTGTAGAAGCATTGGATTTTTTTCAAAAGACAGCACTCATCTCGTTCCCAATTCTGGGAACGGGGAAATAGTTCCATGGAATCCAGGGCTTTCAGCAAGCTACAAAGGTGCTCTACTCCTCAGTGACACAGGACATCATTCAGAGCTCAGTCTGTGAGAGTAATTTCATGGAAATTCTTGAGAAATGACCAAGATATAGGAAAGCAGATTCATTGGGAAAAGAAGTCTTTATAGAATTTATATTTTGAGTGTCCAAAGACTTATTTTTCATGGGCCTTCCCACAAGTTTTAAGTATGGAAAGTTATGGGTAGGAAATACTTGTGCGATAACACAGTCGACTCTTTCCCTTTGCTTTACCGTACTTTGAGCCTTTAATCTTACCATCCATTGTTTCATAGAACTGAGCCCTCTGTCTTCTCCTGTGATTGCATCAAGCAAGCCCAAGTTGCCTAAAGCAGAGGATGCAAGAAAGGAGGGCACACCAGTGTCCCCCGTGGGTATGGAAATCAAGAATGTTTTGAATGAGCCCTTCTGCCGAAAGTGTATATGTCAGGCAATCGGTGGAGGCAAAGTTCTTGGATCAGAAATGAATGACCCCTTTCACTGGACTCTACACAATTGGTGCTCACTGACTTCTAGCACAACTGCAGGAACAGCTCAGGTGTTGGGAGTGCAGCGCACTGAAGAACTCCCATAGGTGTCAAGGAACATATGTGCCATCACAACTTTCCTCACTGTGCCTCTTTCCGGTGGCATCCATTCGCTTTCCTCTTTGATTTATGGCTATTGCAAAGAGTCTCAGGGTTGGAAACTTCACTGCTTGTGTTGATTCAACCTAC